ATTGTCACCAGCAATTAAAATAGAGTAAAATGCTAACTACAGCAAGAGAGCTGAGGCTGTATCTACCGTGTGGAAGAACTTAACAAATATGACCTTATCACTCATAAGTTATTTATACATGTAATGCCATTCTATAATGAATTTTTAGATGGGTAAATTGAACTGACAAGATAAACAACTTGTTTAACATGCGGAAGAATTCTGTGTTGTAGAGGAAATCTGGACAAAAGTGCTACTATCTTTGGCTTGAATCACATAATGAAGCTGTTTGTTTCTTCAGTTGCTGAGTTGTGTCTGACTCTTTGCAACCCCATGGACCGGAGTCCACCAGGCTACTCTGTCCAAGGGGCCCCCCAGGCAAGAACGCTGAAGTGGGTTGCCATTTCCTTCTCCAAGGGGGTCTTCTCAGATCAGGGATCAAACCCGTGTCTCCTGTGTTGACAGGCGGATACTTTACACTGAGCCACCAGTCACTCAGTCATCTCCGACTCTTTGCAGCCCCATGGACGGTACAGTCGATGGAATTCTCCAGGAAAGGAATTCTCCTTTCCTTTCTCCAGGGGATCTTTCCAACCCAGGGATTGAACCCAGGTCTCCTGCATTGCAGGCTGATTCTTTATCAGCTGAGCCACAAGGGAAGCCCACAATAAAACTGATTTAACTTAAAATGGATGAGACTCCCCAAGGAGGCAATAACTGCAGTCCTAGTATTACCAGAAGTTGAACTATCTCAGGGGGAGACTTCAAAAGAAAGGAATCCTTTGAACTGAGCTTTGTACCTTCTAAGGGTTCTTCAATACTTTCAATGCCCCTTTAGACATACAAAATATGCAGGGATCATATCCGTGTATTTGAACAGAACCTCCTTGGGTGGGAAGTTCACAACTTTCCTCTTAATGGTTCACCAAGTGGAGAAAACAGAAACCACTTCCTTACTGATAGTAAGGAACCTCCTGGTTGGCCCTTTTTATTGGGCTGGCCAAAAAGTTCATTTGGGTTTTTCTGTACGGTATTACAAAAACCCGAACAAACTTTGTGGTCAACCCAATAGGTTCCATCTTGGATCCACAGTGGAAAGCACATGAAAGCTGAATGAACACAGGACTCTCTCTCTTCACATAGGGTATCTGCAGAGATCTGCAGCTTGGTTGTTACCTCGTCAAGCCATAGATACCACATTCTTCCAGAAAAAAAGAGAAGCCGACTCTCAAGCCTGGATTAGAGAAGGCAATCACTATCTCATTTGTTCCTTTTGAAAATGGCCTTTTCAGTGAAGGGAAAGAGCTGAGAGGTGTGTTCGTTGTATCCCCAGCTTCCTGCTTCTTGAAAATGTTAAGTTCAACATGAGCTATCCGCTTAATGGGAATTGAGATTAATGTAGGGAAAGAAGATATGCCAGTGTTTACGTCCTTCAGTTGACAAATTTATATCCGCTGAGCTAGATGATGAGATGAGCTAGCTACAAAGAGCCTATTCCCTGCAATTCAATCATTTTCCCCTCCTGACTGCCCTTTGGCTGTTTTGTTAAATGTTAATTCTTGGGCTATATGGGGTATTACTCCCTTTAGTGGTGAAACACAGGTGAAACTCTTGCTCTTAAGCCACTTCAAATGCTTATGTTTTTAGAAGGATGCTTTCTGAAAAGTTTCTGAAATATGATTAGCATTGAGCTAGGATTTGAATTCAGCCCCCACCACTTGTTATTCTTATCATCTTCCAGCTGTCCCTTTAAAGTTTCTAAGAACCTGTCATTTCTTCTCTGATAGAAAAGTGATGGATGTTACCATCTGTTTGGCATTACCAAATGAGATCATGTATGCAAAAGTTCTTGGTTACATGCAAAATATTGTACAAATATAAAGAGTTGCTACCGTGCTTTGATTTCCCCAAAGGTGTTTATGTGTAAAAGACTGCCTTGCATGCATAGCTTGTGAGTGTGTATGTGTTTGTATACAGAAAGCTTTCACCAACACCAACGTCAGGGGACTTGGCTATTTCATAATATTGCTTATGCAATGAGTAGTCTTGCTCATCCAGTTATTGAAGGGCCTACCAGGTGCCTGGCATTTTTCAAGGTGATAAGGATAAAATGATAAACACGATAGACAACGTCTTGCCTCTTAGATGGTGTTTACATTCTTGTGAGGGTACAGGGTTGGGAGAAGAAACACAGGAAGTACAAACAAATCAGATCATTTCAGATGATGCACACGCTCTGGAGAAAACAAGGCATATGATGTACCAGGGAGTGGCACCTGAACTGAGTCTGGAATCATGAGGATGTGTCAGTCATGTGAAGACCTGACAAAAGTTGTTCTAGGCAGCAGGCATAAAGCCTAAGAAGTGGGAAAGAGTTCGGGATATTTGAAAGACAGGAAAACAGTGATTTGGAGGCTGAGGAGTAGGAGAGAAAGAAAGAGAGAAGGAAAAGGAAAGAGGAGAGAAGATAAATCTAATTAGCAAGAAAAGCAGCATCAGATAATAGTGGATCCAGTAGCCCGTGGTAAGGAGTTAGGATTTTATTCCAGTTTCTATACAAGGTAGTTAGCAGGTATTAAGTATGGCCTGTTTATCACCAAATGGTATACCAAACATCACCAACACAAAAACCACAGGCTTTTTTTTTTTTTTTTTTAAAGCGATTAATGCTTCACTTCATCCACCTGCAAGATCTAGGAAAGACACTTGAACCTCTAGAGGGCGCCAAAGGAAAATGTTTTGTAGCCACCAAGGCTCTTTTCAGCACCTAAAATCAGAGGAAAGCGCTCTGCTTGAGCCTTCAGTCTGGTAAAAGGTGACAAGTTAGGAGAGGATGGTTCATCTACAATTCCTACCCAAACAGAAAGTTGGACGAGCTTAATATGCAGGTACTAGGACCCTAGTCTTCACACCGAAGGATTGTTTATGATGGGTTGGGAGTAGGAAGACATTTGGGGGTTATTTTTAATCTTCTCCCATCTGGTAGTATTTGAGTGGAGTATAAAACAAATATAGATCCAAAATTTACTTTCTGGATTCGTTTGGCAAAGAAAGTATCTCTATACTTAGGGCTTTGAAAATATTCATCATTTGCCACTTAAGATGTGTTATTCTAAATACTATTCCAAACTGACTTGATGAAGTCTTTCAGTAATGCATACCAAGAAAGGCTACTGCATGAGAAAGAGTGGATTATGATAAATGGAATTTTCCGCAAATAGCCGGATAGTTATATTATGAAAACGACTCATAGTGAAGAAAAAGAGAAGGGGAAGGAAAGAGCAGAAGGAGACAGAAAAACTGAGAAGGGGAAGAAGGGGGAAGGAGTCGGAGGGGTCAGGAGAGGTCAGCTGATGTCTAGGCAGGTAATAAAGGAAATGCAAAGCAGGAGAGAACTTGAGAGAAAGGGAGAGAATCAGACGACACTGGGGTTCAAATCATTGGGTCAACGAGATTCAGAAACACAGTTAACATATACTTTCCTATAGTCTCCAAACTGAGACTCTTATCATAAGTGGATATTAAAGGTTCATGGTGATTTTGAGAAAACATTCACTATTATCTTTAAAAAGGAAAAATTCATCTGGTCAGACCTTACTCACAGAGGCTCTCACGTCCTCATTTCACGCCTGATGATCACAGCCAAGTACTTTATATGCTCTTTGCTCTACCTAGGGAGACTTCAAAAAGCATCGTAAAAGCAGTCAACCAGATAAGTAACCTGAGCAAATGGTTACAGAGCCAGCAGGGAAGAGAGAGAATCCCAAATCAGCTAGAAGCCCAGAAGGTCAGTGATGGGGAAAGCACTCTAACAGTGCCAGCACTCTAAAAGTCATGAGCAGTTTTCATAGGTGTTGTACCTGTTTATTCTAAGAAGCATTATTCAAACCAGACCTCAAGAGGAGCCTCTGAACTTCCAATAGAGCAAAAGTACCCCAGAGGCTGAAGCTAAAGCAGAAACATACAAAGCATGCCCCTCTTCAAGCACCTCTCATCAGCTATTTATTTGAAAACACTTCCACTAATACATTTCCTTCATTTTTATGGAGATGACCCTCCTTCCATTTACTCTTGTTACTTACCAGACATTTGGCCAAGGAAGTGCCAGGACATTAATTATCTATTGATTTCAATGAATTTAAACAATAGTCATCATCTACCTCCTCCTTCACAGAGGAAGAGAATTCTGTTCACAAAACCACATCCATATTTAATGGGGAAAGATAGGAAGAAAGAGGGAGAAAGAGACATAAAGAGTCAGGTTCCACCTAAATATTTCAAACCATCTATATCAAAATGCCCCTTTCCAATGAAGCAAAACTTGCCTTCTTTGCCAATAACATGCCCCCTCTCCCCACCAACCCCAAGTTCTGAGTTTGATTTATTCAAAGAATTAGGGTTGGATCCTGTAATAAGAGAAGATAACCTCGTAGACTCACAAGACAAAAAAGAATTCCCACATAAAACATGTGTCATGGGCTTGACTGAAGGATTGTGTGAGAAAACTGAAGTAGGGTACCCAGCACCAGAAATTAGTACAGGGTTAACAAATGTTGATTCCTTTGCGGCACAGAGATTCAGAGAAACCCAACACTGAATCCTACAGTCCCTTACAACCCCCTGCTGTAATACTTGTGAGTAAAGCTGCTAAGGAATGGGTCACCTTCTAAATTGGGGTGCTTCTCCTCCCCTTCCATCTCCTGCTCCAGAGCCTCACTGCAGCCCCTGGGGGATGTGTGAGGAGGAGAAAGAAGACTGTACATCAGCTAAGAAGCTAAGAAGAGAGGAATTTCAGAATCAGGGTGGAATGGTCGAGCTGGTAGAAACTTTAGAGGTCATTTAGTTCCAGTTCCCTCTAAGAAGAAAGAAATACCATCCCAGGGGGACCCAGGACCTCCTAGGTACAGGGCAGTGTGCCAGGCTGGGGGAGGAGACTCCAAAGGTAACCCTGATTCTTAGAAAAGCGATTTCTAAAGAACCCCCTGGGGAGTCAGGGGAAGAGCAAGGCAGGCAGGAGTTACCTGATTGATGGAAATGACCGCCAGCCTGGGGATGACCGCCTGGAGGACCACCTGCATCAAAGAGGTGCCTAGGCCGGCCAGGATGGCCCAGGTGAGCGGCAGCGGCAGCATGCTGTAGGTGGCGAACAGGGTGAAGAGCACGTAGCCGATGCCGTCTCCCAGGAGTCCGTAGCCGAGCCCTGCTGCTAAGATCTGGGTGGTCATGGCCACCCAGGTGACCACACCGCTGTACTGCAGGTATGTGTGCGAGGTGGTGTCTTTCCTGACCACCACCAGGGCGCAGATCACCACCTCTATGCCCGTGAAGAAGCCCAGCAGGATGCCCTTGAGCGGGTCCATGGGGGCCGAGGCCAGGCTCAAGTGGAGAACCAGGAGGGTGAGTTTGGTCAGCACGTCCAACACGTTCATCACCACCTCGGATTTGCGCCTCTGTCCCAAGAAATAGCGCTGGTAGAGGCGCTCCAGGTCCCGGGACTTGAAGGAGTTGCGCAGGGTGGGGAAAATGACCCCTCGGTAGCTGTAGCCCCCATTGAGGAAGAAATCCGAGTTGCTCGGGGCGCAGTCGAGGTGCAGGAAGCCCAGGTCGCCGCCGCCGCCGCTGCCGCTGGCGCTGCCGCTCCCGCTGCGTTCCGGGAAGACTTTGGGGCCGCCGGTTCCGTGCGCTCGCTCCCCGGGGCCCAGCGCGTAGAGGGGCAGCGCCGAGTCGCCGGACAGCTGCGACGCGTGGTGGTGGTTGGGGCCGCCGCCTCCGGGGTCCGAGACTTTGCTGGAGCTTCCGTTCCCGCCGCCGCCGCGGTGCCCGTGGATGAAGCGCTGCTCGGTGATGTGCCGCACCGCCGTCTGCCACAGCAGCCGCTGCGGCCGGGAGCCGCTCCCGCCGTCGCCGGCCGGGGGCGTCGGGTGGATGGTGTAGAGTTCCTCGCTGCCGCTGAGGCAGCGCACATCGGAGAGCTCCATGGCGCCGGGCCGCGGGGAGGGCGGCGCAGGACCGGCGGGAGGCCCCCGGGAGAGGAGGTCCCTAAAGACCCAGAGGCTGGCCTGGTCGGAGCTAGGCGGCGAGCCCTTCTCTCCCCAGCCGCCCCGGGCAGGAGGGCCCCCTCGCGTCAGGTCATAGTGCGCCCCGGGGCAAAGGGCGTCTGGTAGATCGCCGCAGACCCCTGCGTCCTTGCGCGGCGCCCTCCCGCCAGCCCCGCGCAGCTTGGGTGCGTGGCAGCCGGCGCTCGGTGTCCGCAGCAGCCGCGGCGCTCGGAGCCACGCAGCCCCCTTCCCGGGCTCAGGCTTCCGGCTGGTTCTCGGCTCGGCGTCTCGGCGTAGCCTTTGCTCTCCAAGAGCCCAGGCGCCTGGGGCTCCCGGCTTGAGCTGCGCGCCGGGCGGGTCCTGGCTGCGGCACTGGGCTCGGGACGCCCACGGCGCGGCGGCTGCAGGGGGGCTGGTCGGGGGGTGACCGGAGGCGCAGATGGGTACGAAGTTAGCAGCTGGGGCTGGAACAGAGCCCTTCGGAGAACTCCATTGCGCCCGGATGGGGAGCCGGGGCGGAGCTGGGGGCGGGGGGAATGAAGGGGGAGGAGTGGGGGACCGTGAGGTGGCGGGTGGCCCGCGGGAGGCGTGGAGGGGTGCTAGCCTCAGCGCTTACGAGTCACCAAACAGTTAATTTGGAAGTGGGGGTGTGCTGAGGCTTCCCCCCCCCCCGGGTTCGTTTCTGGCTGTCTCCACTTCCTGAGCGAAGACTGGCAGCGCTGACCTGGCTCTGGCCCGACGCATCCCTCGGGGAGAGGGGAGGATCTCAGGGTCCCAGTCGCTGCTGTAAGACGAAGACCCCCTTTCCAGCTGTGCTTCCGAGGGGTCGCCGCCCAAGCTTCTCACCCCCCTTCACTTCCCTCGTTGGAATCCATTTGGCCCGGAGCTGGGAGGAGAGGGAGGCGGGGGCAGGGAAAAGTGGGGAGGGCTCCCAAGCCAACAATTCTGAGAACCGAGAGAAGCCACCGGCGCGGAGCCCTGAGGCTAAGATCCGAAGCGGGGTGGCTGCGGCGGGTGTAAGGCTGGAGCGAGAAGGGAGGCCCGAGGCCGCGGGGAAGTCGCCTGGAGTCGCCGCCGGGTCCAGGGAAGCGCCGCGTGCCGCCCGGGCGCTCTGAAGCTCGCTGCGGGCACCCGGCGACGGGGAAGAATTTGGAGACCTGTCAGAGCGGCCGGACACCAACCGCCACTTAAGCCCGCCCCCACGCCAGGCCACACCCCCCGGAGCGCGGCGGGGGCCGGGGGGCGGTCGCGGCGGGGACCTGGCACCCAGATCTGGCCAGGGCGCCCCGGGTCTTGGAAGCAGCAGCGCGCGCACTTCCGCGCGGGAGAGGACGGTGGGGCTGCTGCCGACGCACCCAGCCGGTCCGGGACGCCGGGCTGCAGCGCTCCAGCTGGCGGCGCGGGCCGGTTCCTCCGCGGTTCTTTTTTAGGTACTGGCTCGAGTCCTGGGCAGGTGCGCAGCCGGGACTCGTAGGCCGCTGTGCCCACGGAATCCGAGGGCCAACGCCAAGGAATAGAGGGTCTCCTTTACGCGCTCTCCAATGGGGTGTCTTTTGGCAAAGCCAACTTTCGGGCTAAAAGCAAAATGTCCCCAAGAAGCCGCAGTTGTAGAGACAGGCAGCTTCCCCAGAGTCTCTTAACCACGCCAGTTCAGGGGGTGGAGGGCGCGAGGCATTAGAATACAAGGGCCCCCGGAGTGCCTCGCACGCCGAGCTTCTCCCGGCTTACAGGCGGGGTGGAGGACGAGGCCGCGGGGAAGGCATCCCCAGCCGCCAGCTGAAGCCGGGTTTCCCGCCCGCCGAGCTCCGGCTGCGAGCAGTTGCGGACACAGCGCTTGGCGGCGTTGGGGCAGAGCCAGGCGCCACCCGGGGGCGCTTGGTGTCTGCGCCCGCGCCGGCCCGAGCACGGGCCCCGGGCGCCGCAGTCCGGAGCCCGGCTGCAGGTGGCGGAGCCACCGTGGCCTCCACCTCCGCCACCGGGACTGCGGCTGCAGCGGGTGGAACCCGGGCCCTGAGCACGGTCAGCTGATGGCCAATGACGTCAGGCCCCGGGCGCTATCGCGGCTCTCCGTGGCGCCCCCCGAAAACCCCAGGGACCGCCTCGCCACCCCCTTCAGACCCTCCCCAGCGGACGGTCCCCCGCTGCTTTCCCTGGGAGAAACTCCCCTCCCTTCGCCTGGCCTGGGCAAGAATAGCTTTGCCTACCTCCCTTCTCAACCGCTTACACCATCTCCAGGGTTATTTGTGTCCACCGTGTCCCAGAAACACAAGATTTCATTATATCAAGCCTTTCTTTTCCACACATGGGTTTCAGTGAAGCCCAGACTGGTCAACTGTCTTGCACATAGAATCGCCCCCACCACCGCCCCAAAGCAGGAAGAAGATAGCATTTTCCCCTAAGAGTAGATTTCTGAGATGTTATACACATCCTGGAAAAGACTCCTTTAATCCGAGTCCTTTCGAGTTGTCTTCTACCACTCTACCCCTCAAGAAAGAGAACTAAATTAAAGGTTCCATTTTAAATGGAAAGAAGGTCGGTTCTATTTTTAACCCAGTTGTGGATGTATTAATTCCTTAGCTGTAAAGAGGCCCCAGAATAGCTGGTCTCTTCGGTGAGACTGGAACTTAAGGGCAAAGCCCTTCCCCCCGCCCCCAACCCACTTTTGCAGTTATCTAGACCTTAATGAAATCGTCCTGGGCATCACATTCCTGAGAAAGAAATGCTACTTGCTGTCTCCCTTCTTAAATTCCTTGGACTCTGCCTGGTCAGCTCTCCTGAAACTCTGGGTTGAGTAGTAATTATCTTGACTTGAGGGAGGGAGTCCAAACAGGCAGAGGGCGGGGTGGGGGAGGGAGGGGGTTCCTGTGGACCCCATGCCAGGATGTGTGGGGAGCTGTGTCCTCAGGCTGCAGGCACAGCCCCAAGTCATCTGTGCTAATGACCATATTAGTAAACTTGGCAGTGGAAGACACCTCTTTATTTTCTCAATTCTTTCTCCTTGGGAGCCTGAGAACTCAGCCTGAATAAATGAGGGGTTGAATGCAGATGGAACTTTCCTATGAAAATCTTCCTCCTGGACATATCCCAGGATGATTTATTCAGCAGCAAAAGGAGGCGTGCCAAGAAGGGGGAGATTGGACCCAATCAGATAAAATGACTCAGGCTGATGAATGAGCATAGCATGCTAACAGAAAGCAGCTCCAACAATTTCATGAACTTAGAGGTCGAAACTAACATGTCAGGGAGAAAACATTGCATCTGGTCGCCGGACTCCTCCGAAAGTTCCTTTGTGGTAGGGGGTGTTAGGACATGTTGTTTGAAAATAAGAGGGTGGATGACAGAATAGGATTTACATGTTATTCTTCTTGTTGGAATGACACGGTTCTGTTCAACACCCCCCAAATTCTGTTTTTGGATGACAGCACTGGCTCAGCACACATATTGGGAGGCTTTTGGGAACATGCAAACCACCATATGATTATCACTTAAGAAGTCAACACATTGCTTTGAGGCTATAATGGACCTCTCACAGGGCCTTCATTTAATTCCCTGCATATTTATTATGGCTGGGTCGCCGCTGTAGAGGGACGGGATTTTGCAGACTCCATGTCTTTTTGTACATAGCCTCCTCTTCTCGGAATTTCCCTCTATTCCTTTCCTAACCCTCCTTCAAAGCCCTGCTCATCTCATTCCTTCAAAGCCCAAGCAATGTCATCTCTGCTTTCCTGGTATTTCCAGTGAGAATTAGTTCTTTTCTCTTCTGTCGTTCTGTTGTTCTCAGCCGCTCAGTTGTGTCTGACTCTCTGCGACCCCATGGACTGTAGCCCGCCAGTCTCCTCTCTCCCTGGAATTTTCCAGGCAAGAATACTGGAGTGGGTTGCCGTTTCCTCCTCCAGGAGAGCTTCCCAACCCAGGGATCAAACCCTTTATCTCTTGTGTCTCCTGAATTTGCAGGCAGATTCTTTACCACCGAGCCACCTGGGAAGTTGTTCTGTTCGGCCCTTCAATATGGTTCTTACTTACTCATTTATCCCTCCATGAACTGGTGAGCTCATTGAAGGGCAAAACTGATTTTCCTTGAGTCCATGTCCCCCTGTTTCTAGCAACTCCAGTGTACATAGAGATGATAAAATTAGCAATAGTATATGGCACACTTCACCCTTTACAATGATCTTTATAACCATCAATTCTGAGTTAGATCCTTCTCTATTTTTTATTATTCCCATTTTACTGACTCCATTGAGGCTCCATTCAACTAAGGAAGTTGCCCAAGATCTCCTCTATAGCAAAATTCCAGCAGTTAAATTTAAATTGTATAAATCTAGCCTGCATGTGCTCAATAAAAATATTGTGACAAGCAGGTCACACATTTTTGACCTAATTTAAATAGGATTGATAGAACAGAAAATGTCAAATATATTTTGACTTTCCAAGTGTAAGTTAAATAAGAGACTGCTGAGATGTTTGGGCTTTGAGAAGTCTAATGGGGTGACTCCAAATGGATGAGGTAGCAGAACGGATTCTTGTTTCTATAGAGGGTCTGCTAGGTTTTGCTCAGTGCGAGCTATGTATATTATTCCTAGCTTGTGAAAAAGCAGGTTTTTCACATATTGGATTTAACCAAAATAATTAATTATCACACCGTACTCATTGGCTAAGGGTAGTAATGGCAAAACAGCCTCTTGCCCCATTGGAAAAAAAAGGGTTTGCTTTATGATGTTGCTGCCTACTGCTGGCCACATGTATAGTAGATATGGGAAATTTGTTCCTCTCAAATGCTTCTTTGACTTTCTAGGCTAACTAGATTAACATATGATTTAAATTTTATAAGAGCTGTGCTCTTTGCAAAATACCCATAGAAACTGTAACACTCACTGAAGACATATAAAATATTCACATGTAAAAGAAAAGATGGATTCAGTTCAGGAAGGAGACCTGAAACCAGAGAGATCCTGTTTCCAAAGGGAAGGAGGGTGTTGATGACAAGGCAGCTTCCAAAGCTGGAAGTCCTTAAAGGAAAAGTGCAGGAAATTTTCTGAGGATAGTTCTTAAATATTCACACACACACACACATACACACACACATACGCGCGCGCGTGAAGGGAAAAAAAAGGAAGTGCTAACTGTTTGGGGTAATACATATGTTAATTACCTGATTGTGATGAACTCATGTTGTATAT